AACAAACAAACAAACAAAACCAACAATCTCATGAATTTTAGATTGTCCTGCATCTAAGTAAATAATAACAGCTCTTTTCATTCAAACTTTACATTTCATTTTCTAATCTGGGAGACTGAAAACAAATATTTTCTAGCTTTGAATAGGAAATAGCAGCAGTAGTATTTTTATGACACATGAGTTATATTGTTTACTCTTTTCCCCAAAAAAGGGATGGCAGTGGCTGGCATCTTCTTGCCACAAACATTCCATCACAAATCAAGAACGGTAAAATTAGCAAATGAATGGAATGAACCAAAAGCTGTGGCAATCCATCTATCCAATCCAATAAAGGAATTCATCATAGAAATTCTCTTATTTAAACTAAAAGAAGGAGGAAACAGGAATACAGAGGCAGACAATAAGGAAACACCTGGAGCAATAAATGTATGGGAATGCAGCTCTATGAAAATCCCAGGCATCTAACTATTCAGAACATCATTCACAAGAGTTTGTACATTTATTTATTGTATTTATACCTCACTCTTCGGCCATAAAGGCTCTCAGAGCGGCTTACAGGTAGTTAATTAGATAGTTCCCTGCTCTCAGGCTTACAATCTAAAAAGACCTGACACAAAAGGAGAAGGGAATGGCAGTGGGGAAGGGGATAAAGTCCAACAATTCTTATCTCCCTCTGAGGCCAGATGATGGCAGATAGACTGGAGGGAGGGTTACCCTGCTTGTCTGGCTAGGTCTAATGAAGCTTGTTCTGATTGTCTCTTCCTCTGAGGCTGGATGATGGTAGATGTAATGGATGGAGGGCTGTCCTGCTTGTCTGGCTAGGCCTGATGAAACTTGTCCTGCCTCTCTCTCCCTCTGAGGCCGGATGATGGTAGATGCAATCATTGATTAATGGCTGTGCCAAATTAAATCAGATACCATAATAGACAATGAGAGTCCAGAATATGTTCCTGTGCTGGTAGGCCTACAATAATGCCACCAGAAATTGAATTTTATGGATTAGGACAGTATGCTTGGGAGAGGAGAGTTTTTTTCCTCAGCTGGTCTTCTCTCTGTCTTCTATGAAGGACATGAAATCAATGAGCAGCAGAAGCTAGTGTCTACATGCTACTGCAAGTTGTTTTCTGATATTGGTTCCTAGTGTGGTATGTGAGAGAGGAGAAGTTTATTTTGGTTGAAGCAACACAATGGATTGGGTTGAAATTTTCCGCTCTGGGGAGGAAAGAGGAGAAGGAGAAGAAGCCACAGCAGTGGTCTAGAAGGAACTACAAGCTGAGCCTCACTTCATTTTCTCAGTTTGCAAAGCAGGAATAATCGGGGGGTTTTTTGGGAGGGGGGTTAAGAAGGCTTCTACAGATTTTTGCATGTTTTAAATGATGGCCAAAAATCATAACATTGTTGGCAATTAACATAATGTCAATACCATATTGAAACAGAGATACAATTGTGCAAAATATATTTCCATCCAACACTTACTTTGTAACCTTCTATAAAGATTATCAAGGTATAACAGAAAATGCCATCACTATATTTCTTTAAAAACATAGCCAGGAAAATAATGATAAAGGTCAACTTTCCTTGCCTGAACAACTGACCATGTTAGGACTTGACCTTCACTAATCCATTTCATTCACCTAGGTTTGTCTACAACATATCCAGCAGAGTTCAACTACAATTAGCCTGACTACAACCCTGCATGGGACTTAGCTTTAGCCCTGCCAAAGTGCTCTGTCACATTTGGCATTGTGCTTGCTAAGCCAAGACTCTGAGGCTAAGTTCCAGCTAGGGATATAAACTTCACTTATTTCACTGATGTATGCAAGAACAAAGAATATCAGAAGTATATTCCTGGCTGGGATTTTTCATTTCTTTCTTTACAAAAAAAGAACATTAAAAACATTTACATTATAAGCATTGGCTGACATTCACTATTACAATTACGAATCCATAACCTAGAGTTGCACATATGCAACTACTCCATATTCATGATCCCTACATAGTTATGATCATGGCACTATTACCACTAGGGTAGCTGCCCTCCCCCAAACCTACTTTTCTGGGGAACAGCTGTTTAAAGAGAAAGAGGTCCATTCTGTTGGTGTTCAGAGGCATTTCCACCCCTCTCCAGCCATCAAGCAAGGCTGCAACAGCCAAAAGCAGGACTTCAATCACAACTCTTTATCTCTGCCTTTTCTGCTGATGGAAGAGAGAGGTAGAAGTCTCCTCTATGTACATTGTGATTTCCACCAGAATGGACCTCTTTCTCTCAAAGCAAAGCTGATGATAGGGGGGAAAAAAATAAGCGTTTTTTGGTGGTAGGCCAGGAGATGTTACTTATGTAATTATATTCAAGTATGTTGCAAACAAATGTACAAAAAAAATATGTATTCAATGTATACCCTACCAGCCTACCATTTTCTGCACTAAAATGGGTGTGAGGTTATTGTGTGTTCAAAACACAGTGGATATGTCTCTGTGTGTGTAACATACAATAATCTCATAAAACATGAAAACCATGTTTTTTTCAACAAGTCACGGAATGAAGAAATAAAAGATGAAAATCTTGTGACAATTGGCCATTCTTTAAATGAGTTGTTTCGTTTGTTGAAAGATCCACAATGAGGGTAAGAAAATTGACAAGTATGTATGACATCTACAAACCCCAAACAAACATCAGGCTAAGGAGGCCACAACAGGTTTCTTAGTAAAAAGACAGGTCTTGTAGGATAGCTATTCAAAAGGGAGAGAGTGGAACAATAGAGTTTTCTATAGAGAATTATTGTATTATCTGTTGAATAAGTTCAAGTGAGAAAAATAAACTCCATCAAGCTACAATTGAACTTGTAGACTTTAACCCAGTGCATTTGGTGTATTCATAGACTCAGGAACAAAGTATTCAGTCTTTTAAGGACTTGCCACTATGTATTAGGGATATAAATCTGCATTTATTTTGTTCACTCATGCAAGAACAAATAATTTCAGCAATTTTCCTTCTGTTCCACAATAATATGCAGCATAATTTTCAAGTACTATTAAAACTTTGTTGGAGAAAATTTGTGCATACATGCACAGGATTTTGTGCAAAATAAAAAAAAGTAAAAAAAAAAAAAGACAATGCCTGAGATCCCACATTTTTATTCATTCATCCATCCATTCATCCATTTTATTTTATTTTATTTATGTCCTGCCTTTCTTCCAGTTTGGAATTCAAAGTGGCACAGAATGTTTAAAAAGCACAACATATTAAAAACAAAACAAAACAACACCTCTTAATACAGAAGTTAAAACACAATTAAATTAAACTTTGATTTTAAACAAAACACAAGTTTAAAACATACAATAATAATAGCATGAAAAGAGATTTAAAACATAATGAAATAAAAATAAATTTTTGTTTTTGTCATTTCCAACTTGTGGTAACCCTAAGGTGAATCTCCAATTTGTTTGGCAGATTTCTTCAGAGAGGGTTTGCCATTGCCATCCTTTGAGGCTGAGAGAGTGTAACTTATCCATGGTCACCTAGTGGGTTTTATGGCCAAGTTGGGAATTAAACCCTCCTGCTCAGCCATGGAAACCCACTGGGTTACTTTAGGAAAGTCACATTCTCTCAGCATCAGAGGAAGGAAAAGGCAATTCCCCCCTCTGAACAAACCTTGCTAAGAAAATCCTATGAAAATCCTGCCTTAGGATTACCATAAGTTGGAAATAATTCATGTGCACACAACAACAACACTATCTACTCATTAGTGAAATTGTGGTAAAATCCTGAGATTCTGTACTTCACAATAGTGTGTGTATGTATGCACAGAGAGAGAGAGTAGTGGTTATTTGTTGTCAAGTTAGCTTTGATCTGTGATAACTCTGTGGATGAGATACCTCCAAGAGTCTTGGTCATCACCCACCCTGCTAAAATCTTGCAAACTCAGGGCCATGACTTTCTTGATTGAGTCAATCCATCTGTAATATGATCTCCTCCTCCTCCTCCTCCTCCTCCTCCTCCTCCTCCTCCTCCTCCTCCTCCTCCTCTTTCTTTGGTACCACTTTCACTTTACCATGCATTCAGAAAGGCTGAGCCTTGGTTCAATTATCTGCTGTTCAACATAACTTCCATCTAGGCAGGCTGTGTCTCAGTTTGCTCTATGTCTCCATATAATAGCAGAAAACATTAACAGGCATCTTGGACTCACATGAAAAAGTTCGCCAGAATGAAAATGTGCATTTGTGTCTGCTTTCTTGCAAAATAATTCCAAATGTTCTTCCTCTTTGAGCTTCAGCCATTTAAAGCAGACAAGACTTGACTAGACAGATAAATATAGCCTATCCTAATATAAGGCAGCTTCTTATGTTCCTAATGTATACAAGCCTGGCATTTCAAAACTGGCCTTGAAGAATATGAAGATTCAGTCTGTAAACTATGCAGCCTACAAATCACAGAAGAGCTGCTATTAAAGCAGATCTGTATTTATATACATATTCCCTCTATTGACCCTTCTACTGGGAGTTTATAAAATCGCTCTCTTGTAAAAAGGCAAAATAAAAAGAGTGCTTTCCCTCTCAAATGTGAAAGGAGGATTTTTTTTTAAAGAAACAACACCCGACTATCAAGCCATTTTTATATTTTACTTGATTTCTAAATTGCTCAGGCCCATCCTCCTTTGACCCTGATTATACAAACTCTTCTAGACTGAATCATTACTCATCCATTTCGCCTCTCGACACTGTTCTTGTTCTCTCAACCCACCAGGGGGTCTTTGTAGTTCTTAAAAAAGAGTGAAGGGCAAGACAGACAAACCCAGAAAGTACTCAAAACACACACACACACACACACACACACACACACACACACACACACACCATGAAGTGATTCTAGTATATCTTTGCCCAAAGGGAGAAGATGCTCTTCCATCTTTCCTAGACTTTTTAGTGACAGTAGGGGAGCAAAAAGAACAAGATCTTGATTTCAGTATGGATTTTGACACGGCTTCTCCTGATATTGGAAAGCCAGAGTGGTGTAATGTTCTGAGTGTTGGACTATGGTTCTGGAGACCAGGGTTCAAATCCCTGCTGAGCCATGAAACCCACTGGGTGACCTTGAGCAAGTCACACTCTCTCAGTCTCAGAGGCTGGTGATAGCAAATTCCCCCTTAAAAAACTTGCCATGAAAACTGTGATAGGTTCTCCTTAGGATCACCATAAGTCAAAAATTGATTTGAAGGTACACAACAACAGCAAGTCCTGATATTCCTGCAGACAAACTGATAAAATGTGGGCTAAACAATGCTATTGTCAGGTGGAATTGAATCTGGTTTACAGACTGAGCTTAAAGAATGATGATCAGTGCTTCTTCCTCATCCTGCAGTGAAGGGACAAGTGGAAGCCACAAAGTTCTGCCCTAGGCTCAGCTTAGTACAAAATTTCTATCCGTGAATTGGTCAATGGAATACTGGACATACTCATTTAATTTGCAGTTTATATCAAACTAGTAGGCATAGTTAATATCTCAGGAGATCAAATCAAAGTTCAACATGAAATCAATACATTGGAGAGCTGGGCTACCAAAACTACAAAAAGAAAATGAATTTCAACAAAGGGAGAGAGAAAGAGGGAAAAAAGAAAAGAAAAACAGTACATTTAGGCAGGGAAAATTATATGCACAAATATAAGATGAGTGACACCTGCTTTCAGTGTAGTACAAATGAAAAGAATCTAGACTACAAGTTTAACACGAGTCAGCAGTAAAGAGAAGAGGCTGGCACAGCTCCAACATGCCTAAATGAAGAAGCAGATGAAAGGTCCTTCCTCCAGTCCAAGTCCCATTGCCCTGGCCTTGCAAAGAGAGAACAATAAGCAGGCACAGTTTCACCATGCCTAGCCTCAGGAACAGACAAAAGGTTTTTGTTCCATCTCAATTGCCACTGCCCTGGCCTCAGAGGGGAAGAAGAAAAGGCAGGCACAGGTCTCCCATGTCTAAGTCCAGAAGCAGATGAAAAGTCCTCCTTCCATCCTAAATGCCACTACCTTGGCCTTGGAGGTTGAAGAGAAGAAGCTGGCATAGATCCATCATGCTTAGGCCCAGCAACTGGTGAAAGACCCTCCCTTCACTCCAATTGCCAGTGCTCTGGCTATGGAAAGAAAGATGAGGAAGCAGTACCTGTTGGACCTAATCCCCTTCCCCATTGTTATTCCCTTTTCTTTATGTGCCACATCTCATTTAGATTGTAAACCAGAAGGCATCAAGTTAACAATCTGTAAGCCTCTTTCAGAACTTTTGTGGCTGAAGAGTGGGGTAGAAATACTCTAAATAAATAAATAAGCAAAAAAAGAAAAATAGAAAGGAGAAATCTGATGCAATGCAGGTTTCATCAACAGAAATACATTGTTCTCCACACTCAATAAAAGGTATGGTATTGAAAATAGGGGGGGATTATGTACCCCAAACTTTGCTTTTTATAAATTGTTTGGTAATGAGCTCCTATTTTTGCTTCCTGTCCCAGTCTCATTGTTGACAAAGTTTGTTTGGAAACATCAATCACACAACTTGGTTTTGGGTAGAAGCAAATTATCTTGTGTATTTTACCCAGGTATGAATCAACCAGCAGTGTTGCTTGACATGATCTCTACATGCACATGATTCTGTACACAAAACCTGCATCTGCTTTTTATTATTTTGCCATTTTTAAAAGGGAGGGAGGGAGGGATCTAGTTGCAAGTTGTTCACCATATCCACAGGTCTTTCTTCTTCCTTCCTTCCTTCCATCCTAGATTGCAACAACAATTAAAGTATATTAAAAAACGAGGAAGCTTATACATGTACAGCTTGTGAATACCCACTTGATGGGATTTAACCCCCCCCCCCCCAATAGTGATTTAGCAGTGTCACCAGGCAACTAGGCATGGTAAGCTGAGGTATTGAGTTTTAAACCACGGAAGATTAACACTTATTGATGATTAAGTTGCTGGGTTTGTATTTCTCTCTTTTAAAAAAAGAAAACCTCAAGCAGCTTTTATAAAAGAGCAACAACAACATTTCAATTAGGAATCTCATACCCCACATATTAAAACCAGGAAAGAAATTGATCCACAACACAGATGGGCAAATACCCCTCCTCTTTGCCAAAGACCTTTGCAAACACAGTTTTTTGTGGGGTTTTAGGGCTGTGAGGCTGTGTTCTAGAAGAATGTGTTCTTGACATTTTGCATGCATCTGGGGCTGGTATCAAGTGAAATGTCAGGTATACCTTCTTCTAGAACATGGCCTCACAGCCCAAAAAAAACCAAAACAAAACAAAACAGAAAAACCTATGGATACTGGCCATGACAGCCTTCAACTTCACCTTCACAAATGTTCTCCTGTTAATTCTGATCAGAGAAGGCTCTGTTTTGTATATGATCAACATGAGATTATATATTAGCTGAGTTTAGAAAAATTAGAGTTGTAGACTATACCAGAGTCCCACAACCAACATGAACTCTGACTGGGGTCAGGTCATAGGAATTGTAGACCAAAAAGAAACATGTCCCAAAGTGCATTATGCATGTACTAAACAGCAGGCTTTCTCTGTGATGGCACCTTGACTTCGGAATTCCTCCCAAAGGAGAAATGGCTGACACTGTTTTCCTTTCAGGGTCAAAATCTTTGTATTTTCCCAGGCATTTTAAAATGTAAAGTTGGATCATTTTATACCTCTCTCTGGCTGTGATTCTGGATTGGGAGATTCATCATAAAGTGTTCCACATATTTGGACCTATGACACATCTCTCCCTCAACCTCCCAAAACCCACCTTTAAGCTCCTGCAATATCTCTTCTCCACATGGTCATTAACTGTCTGATGGAAATCGGAGGGGTGGCAGAGCAGCATGAAGCTATATTCCTCCATCTGGATGCATAGCCATCCTACAGGACTTTCTTGGGGTCCTTCTGAGATCACAGATTATGATGTTATTGAATCATAGAATCATGGAGCTGTAAGATACCTCAAGGACCATCAAATCCCAACTCCTGCCATGCAGGAATATACAATCAGAGTACTCCCAACAGGTAATTATCCAGCCTCTGTTTAAAATCCTCCATGCATCCAAATATAGGAGCATAGCTGAGCACTGTACTATCCAAATCCACAGGTCTTTCTCTTTCTTTCCTTTCTTTCTTCCCTCCTCTCTTCCTTTGGTCCATCCTACATTGTAACATGAATTAAATATAATAAAACAGCAACAACCAGGAAATGGCTTTGTTTGGGGGAGAAGCAGCAGCTTAAAAGATGGATGTGAGTGGGGAGGAGTTTGTTTGCTGCATGGTCAGTAGTGAATTTTGACCTTCACAACATTCAAAGAGTGACTTATGCAAGTTTAAGCTAAATTCATATTTCCATAAGTGACTGAGAAGCCTACATTAATTATGGCTACTTCATATGAAAGTGCAATTCCATAAATTCTCCAAACAAATAAGCAATGTATGCATGTATATGTATATATGTGTTGTATATACCTGTGGGTGTATATATACTAACAAAATTTCAACTATCTTCCCTTACATCATTTAATAAACTGTAGAATAGGTAGAGCTTAGAACATGTACTTCTTTGGCCTAAAATTCCCACAGTTGTCCAGCTAGCATGGCCAATTCTTGAACTTGAAGTCCAAAGAAGAAAATGTTCCAAGCTCTGAGCATGGGTAGAGAAAATACAAACCCCTTAGCATACCTTCCAAAGGGACAAAGGAAGCAATGGCCGAAGAGAACTCATGTCACTCAGTGGGCAGGTACCAGTCAGTCTCCACAGTTGATACACCATTATCCTAATCTATGTTCATTTATTTTAATACACCCAATTTCTCTACAGATTTCCCCTCACATCAGTGCACCTTTTTCCAAGGTGTGCATTTTGGGTTCAGCCCATTAAGTAGCATGCCTTCAAGTAATCTTGTGGTGGACTCATTACTTTAAAAGGGTTTCCCTGGCTTATAATTTGCAAAGGAAGAACAAGAACAGGGTGTGGGAGGCAAAAACCTGGAGGTTCTTTCCAATGATGGGAAAAACCAAAGAATATGCAAAAAACTTTCCCTGAGACTCTTGCAGATCCCAAATTAGATAACTGTCAAAAAGTTTAGGTATTTGAATTTCTTTTACATTCCTTATGCCCTGACACTTCAGCAAGACATCCTTGGTGGCATATCTTCTCCTTCTTCAGCTGTTACAGCTTCTACCAAGAAAGAGGCCTCTCAGCAGTGGCCTGTCAGCACCAACTATGGCTCTGGCAGAGGGAGCAACACCTTGCCACTGCCAATTAGGGCCTGAGCATCTCAGCTGCTATCTGGTTCTAGTCCTAATCAGCTGCCTGTCCTTATCAATAATTAGCCGGAGGCAAGGGAAGAAAAATGCCAGGTTACAAGCTAATATTTCACACACACTGTACTGTCATGAATCATACTGCCTCCAAATCTGCCACCGCTAATAATAAATGTGGATAGAACAATTACCACTGCTAAAATAGCTCCGCGCAGACTATTTAGAGAGAGGCCTCTATTTGTGTTGTTATTTCTCTTTCACTCTGCAACTTCATTCTAAATAAGACAGTAGGTAGACCAGAAATTACTCTTGGAAAGAAGAACATGCAGATTAAGGCACTTGCTCAACCTAATGTCATGTTTTTTTCACCATCACCTGTCCAGCTGTTTCAGACTCACTCGTGTCTGGATAGTGTCCCTGAGAACTGATTTGCCTTCTGCTCTGTGTGTGTGTGTGAGTGAGTGAGTGAGTGAGAGAGAGAGAACAAGAGGATGTGTGAGAATTAAGGAAGGGATAGAGGAGCTTATTGCATGGCTGAAAACGCTGGCTTACCTTTTCTGGCTACAATCTTCTTCCAGGATACACCTGGATGTTATCACATGTAAGTTGCCACTGATTTTGTCATAATGCCACTGGTCAAATTCATCCCTGGTTAGACATGGGCCAAAGCTGCATTCAGCTGCCAAATTTTCAAAAACAGAACCTTCCGACTTTGAAAATTTGGCAGCTGAACATGGCTTTGGCCCGCATCTGACCTGGTCTGTATTTCACCACTGGCATCATGGCAA